TGGAGGACGACGAGGAGGAGCTGCTGGAGGACGACGCGCGCGCGCTGCTCAAGGAGCCCCGGCGCTGCGCTGTGGCCGCCACTGGTGCGGTGGCCGCCGCTGCCGCCGCCGCTGCCGTGGCCGCCGAGGGCGGGGAGCTGTCCCCCAAGGAGGAGTTGCTGCTGCACCCGGAGGACGCCGAGGGCAAGGACGGCGAGGACAGCGTGTGCCTGTCTGCGGGCAGCGACTCAGAGGAGGGGCTGCTGAAGCGCAAACAGCGGCGCTACCGCACCACGTTCACCAGCTACCAGCTGGAGGAACTGGAGCGGGCCTTCCAGAAGACGCACTACCCGGACGTCTTCACCAGGTACGCGCGCGGGGGGGGGGGTCACAGCGGGAGGGCGCGTGCGGCCCGAGGGAGGGAAGGCGGGCGGGCAGGGGCCGGGTCTCGGACCAAGGGATTTTGCTCCTGGACTCAGTCGGGGCTCTCCCCCCAACACACCTACCCCTGCTCCCCACAAACCACCCGTTCCCCCACCCCCAGCGCCACCCTGGACTTTACGTTTAGGCAGGGATGGTTCCTTTCTTTCCCAGGCCCGCTCCAGTTTTTCTTTTGCTTTTTTTCAAACAAGTTTTAGTTAGAGGAAAAGCAACGACTTCTCCAAAGAGCGCCCGAACGCGCCACCTTGGAGAGGCGCGCACTCCGGCGCGCACACACGCACGGCCTCGGGCGCTCTGGCCAGGTCTCTAGCCCAGGCGAGGCAAAGGCGGCGCTGCCGGCAGTCGCGGCCAGGGCAAAACAGGGGCTATTTTTGGCCCTGCGCTGTGCATTCGCCACCCCCGCCTGGTGCCCCAGAAGCCTGTCGGGTATCAGTTACGATTTTCGCAGTGAAGCTGGAGCCGGTGCCTGCAGAGGAGGCGTTTAAAAAGCCCGGAGTCTTGTCGTTTGAGGACTCCTGAAATACCCGGAGCAAGTCGGAGCTGGGCAGTGTTTGGTGTCGGGACACCTGAGGGGCACCAGCCAGAATCTTCCACCTCATATCTCTGTCCTGCCCGCCCCCCCCCCCACACACACACATTAAACCCAGAGTGTGTTTGATGTAAACGGGTTTACAGGAGTGCACAATGACTGCTGGGGGTCTGGCCGGCAGTGGATGAAGCAGCTGGGGAAATTTTCCTCTGTGGACGGGTGTCCAAGTCAGGGGTTCCGGCCTGGTCACGCTCCACTTCCTGCTCATCCCGGTTTTTCTGGAAGGGATGTGATTGTGAGATGACTGGAACCTTGGGCCGCGGCTTACCCGGATAGACCTGGGGCGCCGGCCAGCTGGGAGCCTTCCTCTCCCACCCCAAGGCCAAGGCTCCACTCAGGCGAGGAGCCAGGGTTAGGACGAACGTCCCCCAGTGGGAAGGGAGAAATAGACGGGTGTCTGCTGGGAGCAGAGCTTGTCAAGCCCAGGCAGTTCTTTCGCACGAGACGTGTGCAGCTTTTCAATGTGCGTTTTAGAAACGGAAAGCTGCCCGCCCCTTTGAACCGCAGGAGAAGTCTCTGCTTAGGGCACAGGAGGCCCGAGCCAACTCCAAAGTGTAGTTGGTCTTGCAATTGCTACAGTCTCTCCTAACCAGAAGCAGAAAAGGGCGGATTTAATGCGGGCGAGAGCATGAAACTTGGTCATCCCTTGAGCCAAACTTACTTCTCCCCTGTGTCACCCAGTCCCTTCCTTATCTTAAAAAAGAAAGAAAGAAAGAAAGAAATTTAAAATTCGGTGTGTGCTATCAAATAGCTATTTGGCCGACTGGCTTTTTGCATTCATCACAAATGCGTATTTAAAAAGAAGAAAACGAGCTGGTGTCAGTTGGCATCCAAGTTCGCCCTCTTTAGCTTCTCCCGGGGAAGCAAAATAAGTGAGGAGGGGCAGCTCCCCTTCTCCGCCCCACCCCCACCTCATTCGGACCCAGGGGTCAGGGCCCCTTGGCTCCGGTCCTGGGCCAGGCAGCAGGGCCATTCTAGATGTGCTGATGCTCTCTGAGGCAGGGGGCAACGAAAAGCACGAAGTGAACCGGTTTCCCGGGCCTGAAGTTTCAGGCGTGGACGGGGCCCCTGCCAGCAGCGCAGACCCGGGTCCCAGGCTTGGGCAGCCCCCTCTCTTTCACATTAGCGAGGGGAGAGCCAATTATTCTCGGCGCGCTCATATTTTCGGTAAACAGGTCGTAAGCCGTTTTACAGCATCTTAATGGTTTCCTATTTGCCTTAATTGTCGCAGTAATAACTGCAATGACGGGGTAGGGTTTCAGCTAAATTGACTTCCCCTGAGATGGGCAGGGTTTGTAGTGGGCACTGGAGTCAGGAGGTGCGCAGAATTTTGTTTAATCGAAAAATTACCCCACTGAACTCTTAACAAGCTTAACATATCTCCAGAGGGTAATGGGGAGTGTGACCTGTGGGGGTGAGGGAGGGAGGCAAGCAGGCGGGAGAGAGAGCAATGGAGGGACAGAGAGCTGGAAAGAGAGGGAGAAAAAAAGGGGGGGGGAGAGCAGAAAGAAGCCAAGAGGGTGAATTTTTTTTTAATTGAGTGCTAATTTCTTCCCCCCATCTAATATTAGGACAGAACAGGGTATAAGCAATGTGTGTGTGTGTTTCTCATCTGACTGTAGCTTAGGAGAGAGGAGAGTCCAAGTGTCCAGTTTTGTAGACTTATAGACTCAACAAGCCACCCCTGTCACACTTGAATATGATATAATTAATATGATATAATTAACATAATATCCTGTATCTGGCAATGTGTTGTATGTTTTTATGTTTCTCAGTGGTGAAAGGGTGACGATGCCCATGTCTGGGGTGGGGGCAGGTAGACAGGGGAGACCCTAATGGAGGAGGCCTGCCATCCAGGGGAAGGTGGCTATGAGGGCTTGCTGGGGCTTGTAGTGACCTCCTGTCTGTGTGTTGCTTTCTTGTAGGGAGGAACTGGCCATGAGGCTGGACTTGACTGAGGCCCGAGTCCAGGTGAGCTGCACAGCAGAAAGGGAAGGAAAGGAGGGAAGGAGAGTTTTGGGGAGAGATGGATCGGTGGTCTGGCGGGGGGGATGCATAGGATTGAGACCCCTTCATAAAATGAAGAGAAGCAGAGTCAGAAAAATAGACCCAAGCACTCCCACAAAAAGATACTAAAGCGTGAAGACTACCTGGATCGGCTTGGGAGGTGGGAGGGGATGTTGTTTTCTGGGTTTGGGGGCCTGAGTAAGGAGTCCAGATCAGAACAGGGGTTTTAGGGTTCCTGAGAGTGCAGTTCAGGAGCCCCTCCCCCGCCCCCCAGTCCCTATAGGAAACAATCCACAGACTGACTTCTCCTGATTGAAATAATGGGATGGAGCATGGATTTGGTTGTTAGACAAATCCGCTCAGCTCCAAGCAGGTATTTGGCTGTGATTAAGTCTCCAATCGGGCTTCATAAAAGCCCACTTAGTGCTAGAACAAACAGGGCCATTTGAAGGCAAAATGCTGTTTGATTTCCCCTCCGCCTGCACAAGGAGCTGGCTAATGCTATTTGATTTCCCATTTTTTATAGCAATGAGCCCACATTGATCTAATAGAGAGTGAGTGCAATGCTATTAAAGGTGTTTGCAGCCCCATACCAGAGTGCATTTCCAAACCCAGGCCTCATAACCAAAGAGACGATCAACACTGGGCAGCCCCGATGGCCAACAGAAAACAGATGTCCCTGGCTTCCGAGCTGAGTGAATCACTTTACAGTCAAAATCAAGCGCTGATAAAGCACAATAAATTCCATATGGCTCATTTAATACACAACAGCTTCTTGCATTAGAGGGCTAATGATGAGGCCTGTCCCCTCCTTTCTGTTGACACATTTCTCCATTGTCAAACAGAGATGTGACAGCAACTCTGCATTTTCAGCTCAGGGGAACGAGTCGTGGGAAAGTTAAATAACTTTTAAAAAGAAAGAGAGCGCCCCCTCCCCTTCTCCTCTCCCCCTATTCACTGGAGAAGATGTAATTAAGGGAATATGAATTATTAGAGTCCTTTCGTTTACCTTTGGGGGGCCTTCGAGGTATTAATTCAATAATGAGGAATTGCAGGGGGACATCTTGATAATTGCAGTTGAGCCGAGAGAGACGAGCCGTCTGTAAAAGGTTTCCACGTTCTTTAAGGGCATTCTGCCTCCAATGCCCTGGTTTACACTTTTTTCCTCCTTTGACTGCCATCCAGGAGTGGCGGATAGTCTCGTCTAGACAGATTTGGATACACAAAAGCTGCCCACCCAGCCATGTCCTATCTATAGTCTTACTTTTTCAAGCCTCTGGATTTCCATGCTGGGGTGTTTCTGCAATTCCCAAATTCTGTGGAATGTTACGGATGGGCCCCTTTTCGGCAGAATTTTTTTAAAGAATCGATCGCTCCGGATTCTCCATTTTTCTTGCCCTAGGTTGCTGTTTAAAAGTCAAACCAAGCTCAGATGCTTGTGCTGGTAATGGCAACCCCTCCCCCCTGTGCATTTGAAAGATATGGATGTCTTTTAAAATTAGAAAAAAAAAATTCCTTTGAGATAATTTACATTATTATTTTAATATAACTCTGTATCGCCCTGGAGTTCATTCTTAATTTTTAGACTTGTATGCAGGCAGAAACCCAGCCCCAAAATATTAATGCCTTCGGGGAAGAAGGAGCATATATTCTCAGATGTGGGTGTGACGAGCAGGTCACAGAAAAATAATTTCATGCTCCTGGGGGTTATTTTTAGACGGTGGTAGCTACCACCTTTCAGGTAAAAGGTCTCTACTAGAACTGCTTTCTATTAACAATTAGGAAGATACCTTGTGCTGAAAAGCTCCCCCAAGCCGAGAACAATCTTATTTAACGAACTTATTTAATCCACACCCCTAAAAGGAAACCAAGAACCTGTTAGCTCTGAAGGTTGGAAAAGTCTATGCGGATCTTGTACTCTGATTTTTATGTGTGAGGTATTGCTACATGCCTCATCCATGCAGTCAGTGCTTTCCTGTATAGATCAGGCCCTGCATAGAGCCCCCATATTTCATGGAGAACTGACCCCCCAAATGTATACTTGGTTGCTAATTACTGTGAGCATTTCTTCCTTCCCTCCCACCCTTCCCAAACCCCAGAACCCAGTATAATGCTGGGAGGTGTTCAATAAATATTTCTGAAAAGAAGAAATGAACCTCCTCCCTGCTTCCCTTTTTAATACAGGCACAGGGATTTTGCCAGTTCTTAGGTAAACCTGAAATAGGTGAAAACAGCTGATACGCAGCGAAAGTGTCACTCAGCTCTTGGTGGCTGCTCATTCCAGAGAGTTGCCACTGAATGAGTGCCTTATTTCACTCATTCCTCATGACAGCCTTATGAGTAAAGTTTTATTATCCCCGTTTTACAGATTAGAAAACTGAGGTTCAGAGAGGTTTAAGTGACTCGACTAAAGGCTCACAGCAAGCAGGAGGCAGCACAGACGTTTAAGCCTTGGTTTCCTGGTCCCTACGCCCAGGAAATCACTTTCCTTAAACTTGGGAAGGAACTGGGCCGGTTGGAATACCCACTGTAAAGGGTTTGCTTGTCCGGTGTTCCCTGCTGGCTTCAAGTTTGGGTCCCTTTCCACCGCCCTTTTGGGCCCAGATGTGTCAGAGAACACCCCGAGGCCAGAGAGGGGCGAGGCGGGTGCGGACAGAAGTGGGAAGGAGGGAGGGGCCGCAGCTGCAGGGGAGAGGCTGGGCCCAGCCAGGAGCCTGCGGACCGACCTCGGGATCTCTCCGCCTTGCAGGTCTGGTTCCAGAACCGTCGGGCCAAGTGGCGCAAGCGGGAGAAGGCGGGCGCGCAGACCCACCCCCCGGGGCTGCCCTTCCCCGGGCCGCTCTCGGCCACCCATCCGCTCAGCCCCTACTTGGACGCCACTCCGTTCCCCCCGCACCATCCCGCGCTCGACTCGGCCTGGACGGCCGCCGCTGCCGCCGCCGCCGCCGCCTTCCCGAGCCTACCTCCACCCCCCGGCTCGGCCAGCCTGCCCCCCAGCGGGGCGCCGCTGGGCCTGAGCACTTTCCTCGGAGCCGCCGTGTTCCGGCACCCGGCCTTCATCAGCCCCGCGTTCGGCAGGTAACGCGCGGCCTCGGGGAGTCTGCCTGTCTCTTCCTCATACACACACAGAGGCTGGGGGCAGGGAGGAGGCGGGAGACAGGCAGGGGGCTACACACATCTTTTCTCTTTGGCCCAACCTCAGAAACTTAGCCAAAGAAAATACTCTCTAACTTTGCCTCAAAACAAACTGTGGATCTTGAAGGGACTGAGCGGGAAAAGGGAGGGCAGTGGCAGTAGCAACAACTGTAACAACCGAGGAGTATTCGATGAAAGCTGTAAAAGTACCACTTCGTGGCAGTCACAACCTTCGCCATAGGTGGTATTCGTGTAAACGTGTACAGGTTGTAGGGATGACTTTTCAAGTTTTGTAAAAATCCTTTCTCTTGCCCCAAAGCCTGGCAGCCTGAGGAAGCCAGCCCTGGTCCCCACAGGAGCCCTGGAGCCACAGGGCCCTCTGGGTGCACGGAATTCTTTCTTCTTTCCCAGACTCTATCTTCCTTGTCACTCAAGTGACCCGCTGCCAACGATACCCCCATATGTGCAACCCCCGACCCCCACAGCGGAACAAGACAACGAAATAAAAGAAACAGTTCATCGTATATTATAACTCCCTTTCTTTAAATGAACATCGAATGATGAAATAAAAAGTCTGTATAATCACACAGACAAAGAAACAAAAGAGAGATGTATTAAGTTGGAAAAGTGCAGTGAAAATAAAACTGAATGCAGCTTCAATGATCTCTCTTTGGGAGAACAAAGAAATAATAGATTTATCCAACTGCGCAGCCACTTAACAAAAATCATCTTACATAAAATTTAAAAAAAGACGAAGTAAAAATTTCTTGTTACAAACCAATAAAATAAACAGCGAGCACATCGAAATGTAGTTAGTGACTCAGTTTACCTAATGGAACTAAGGAATGTTACGCCCCCTCTGGGTCACTATATTATTTCTCTGGGAAGAAAAAAAAAAAAAGGAAAATCCTGTGCTTCCTCCATCCACCCCAGTTTACTCCTCTGACAACAAGTGTATTGTAAAAGCCGAGAACACAGCTGGAGTACCGCGCTGTGAGATTCGGAGAGGCTGGAAGAGGGCTGGAGAATGGGCTTGGGGAAGAGCAGGAGGCGCTCCCCGAGCCTAGGTGGGGATCTGGAGCCAGAGCCCCAGGGGAGGCAGCAGGGCAAGCCTGGCGGGCGGCGGGGGGTGGGGGTGGCCAGTGTTGGCCCCGTCTTCTGCTACGCAGGCCCGCGGTGCCGTGCGGAGGGGGTGTGGGCGTCGCGCGGCGCAATCCCGGCGTCGCGCGGAGGCGGCGGCGCGGGTCCCCGGCTCAGGCATCTTCGTGTGCGGGGGTCGCGGGTCCGGGGGCTCTGTAGGTGAGGAGGCCGCAGAGGCGCAGGAAAGGTGGCGATGAGGGGGTGTCGCCGCACCTGGACGCGGGGCCATCGGCGGGTCAGAGACGTCCGCCGAGAGGAAATCAACAGGCGGGCGCCCCCATCCCCACCCCTTGGGCACAACGCGGGAGGGCTACCGCGGCGGCGTTCGTTGGCGGGAAGGCGAGCCAACAAGCCGGCTTTTCCAAGACGAGCGGAGTCCCGGGCCGAGAAGGAGCCTGGGAGTGGGTTCCAAGTCTGCAGCATAGGTCTTGGGCTGTTTTTATCCTACTTTCTCCCTTCTTTTTTTTCTCCTCCTTGTCTCTCGTCTCATCTCTCTTTTTTTGTCTCTCCATCTTCTCTCCTGGCAAATGGTATTTCAGGCAATTGGAGCCCCTGGCCTTGGCATTCACCCTTTTTGAGCGAAATCACAGAATCCGCGCGACTGGGCCGTTTGGGGCCGCGCGCGGGGCCTGGCTGCAGCCCCGGCTCCGGCCCCTCCGGGAATATCTGGCTCTTGGTCTTGTTTTCCGTCAGTTCCCTGCCCCGCTGAAGCCCGCTCCGCGCGCCCAGCGTCGCGTCCTCGGCCCGCCAGCGCCTCGGCCCGCGACCACCCGGGCCTGGCTGCCGCGCCTTCGCGGCCGTACAGTCTGCGGTCCTCGCGCCCCTGGGGAGAGGAGGCGGCCCACGAGGCGCCACGCTCCGCTCCGGGGCCGTGACCGCGCCGTTTGCTCTCCCCGCAGGCTCTTTTCCACCATGGCCCCCCTGACCAGCGCGTCGACCGCGGCCGCGCTCCTGAGACAGCCCGCGCCGGCTGTGGAAGGCGCAGTGGCGTCGGGCGCGCTGGCCGACCCGGCCACTGCGGCCGCAGACAGACGCGCCTCCAGCATAGCCGCGCTGCGGCTCAAGGCCAAGGAGCACGCCGCGCAGCTCACGCAGCTCAACATCCTGCCGGGCACCAGCACGGGCAAGGAGGTGTGCTAAAGGCCGCCCTCCGCCCCGCGTCCCAGGCGCGCCCGGAACGGTCACCTCACTCAGCACCACTCAAGACCAAATGGAAACAGAGGACCAGCACACTCCCGAGACGGACGGCACTGAGAGAGCGAGCGCAGCCGCCTTCGCAGCAGCAGCCTGGACACGGGCAACGCAGCCCTCGGCGCTACTGGACCTGGCACCTCCTCGGCTGGCTGTCCACCCGCCCCTGCCCCTGTCCCTGCCAACTTCGCTCCAACGCGAACGTCCACTCTCTCCTGCTCTCACTTTACTGAAAATGTTGGGGAGATTTTCTCTCCTAGACGCCTGAGATTGAAGTTTAAAAATTTAAAAGTCCAACTTCTCTTCCTTCTGACCACCCCACCCCCCCCCTTAGCTTTTTTTTCTTTAAATAGCATTTTGGCGCTCTAGTTGATCTCCCCAGCGTGGGCCCCGGCGCGAAGCCCGGACCAGAGAAGCGAATGGGAGCCTGTAAGATAGCTAACAGTGCACTTAAAGGAAAGGGGCGTCTTGTTCTTGTTCTCTTCTTTATCATACACCAACCAAGGTTTTTATATCAAACCAAAGGGAAATACTCTGCTAGAATATGGACTGTTGAAGTCACCAAACTGTGATTATTGATTCTGTACATACCATTGTTATTAAAAAAAAAAAAAAAAGAACAGAGCTTTGTATATTTGAAATGTTATAACGCAATTGCACTCAGCGTGGTATGGTAAAAGTTTGTCCTCCTGTAGATTCTTACTGTGTTGTAGATACGGTAGGGTTCCTAGACAAATATTTATGTACTCAAGCCCTTTATTTAACTTATTAACTGTAGAGGCTTCTGAAACCTTCCAGATAAAGGCAATGGTACAGTACTTTTGTGTAATGTGTACTTGTTATCACTTTTCCTTGCTATCTAGTGGAGAAGTGTCACGCTCAAAATAAAAAAAAAAATTATATGTTTAACAAAAGGAAGTGTGAATGCTTCATGCAGGCGCTGAGGGAACCATGGAGGGAGGCCAGAGGCCAGAGGTGCGTTCCGGGCGGCCTAGAATCCCTGGGTTTAATCTGCTTGGCGTCTTCCTGGCGGAGGCCCCTGGTTTGAATCCGATTCTCAAAGGGGTCCGGGCTTCCTTCAAAGGTTCGGGACGCTGCCGAGGTACCTTCCATGCGCCTCTCGGTTCCCCCGGGTCGTGTCACAGCGGTGGTTGGGCGTCCTGGGTCGCGAAGGTGGGGTGGGTTGGAAGGTGGGTGGGTAGGTGAGTAGGCGTTGTAGACGGTGGAGTCACAGATTTGAAGCGAGCGGGAGTCTTGGCTCGAAGGCGAAGAAAGCTGTTCGTGGAAAATGCCACGTAGCAGGGATGTGCGCAGTCCGAGTTGACAGGTAATGGCGAGAGCGAGAAGCCGAGGCGCTCTCTTCCGAGGGGGCGGGCACCACGATACACTCGTGGGGAGGAGGGAGGGGTGTGTGTGTGTGTGTGTGTGTGTGTGTGTGTGTGTGTGTGTGTGTGAGTGAGAGAGAGAGAGAGAACGTAGGAACAGTGATGGAAAGGCAGCGAGGGGTATCCAAGTGGCAGATCTTAACTCGACAAATGTCATTACATCACTTATCCAGGCATTGGGAAATGTATACATTTAAAAAAATCTAAACAGCTCAGGTTTCGCGAGGAGACCCAAACTGATTCGCAATCTATGCCCCCTCGGCGCACCCCGCCCCGGCGGGAAACGGTCACTTCGTCCTCCCCAGGCCTGCCTGCGCCCTTTGGGTGACCGCTGAGAGGAAGCCCGCCCGCGGGGGCTGGGTCTCGCCAACGCTCCCGGGGTGATGGGAAAGGGAAGAGAAGCTTAATTAGTTTCAATTTGCAGTAATTAGAGCGCCGGACCTTTGGGGAGAGGGGCAAGCGGGGGTGGGGGG